CATCAATGTTTCTCTCTACCCTCTTTTCCTCCTTTCCACTCTCTCTAAAAAGTAGAAATTTGATGGTATGATCAATGCTTCTCAGAGGGAAGGTAGGGGAGGGCAGGGGTAAGCGGGAGAGATCAACCAAAGAACTTGTATGCATGCATATAAGCATAACTAATGGACACAGACACCAGGAGGGTGAGGGCATGAGCAATGGTGGTGGTGGTGGTGGGGGTAATAGGGAGATAAGGACACAGATGTAATACCTTACTCAATAAAGAAAATTTTAAAAAAGCAATAGGAAAAAACATCCTCGGGTGAGGATTCAAAACAATGTTAAAAAAACTTTTTCATGCCATAACCTGTATTAGAACTCAGGTATCCCCATCATGAAACTAATGTTTTCTCACTATGTCAGTAAATGCAATTATGGCCACTTAACCACTTTATAACACATCAAATACCCAATGTACCAAAACGAGATTTTGAATAATTATTTAATGTGATTTGTAAATTATGAAATGATGTATAAACCTATAAGATAATAAATCAGTATGTTTTAAGCAGCTAAGTTTGTGGTAATTTATATAGCTTCAATAGAAAACCAAACACTCCAATCATCACATGTCATTCAATTTAAAGAGAATTACACATATATCTGATTCACTTGTTATGCATTCATTTAAAAATCATATTATATTTATGGTTTCAGATTAAATTCCAAAAATTAGGTTGACATTTTGGGTTATTTATCCATCACATATACTTTCTTCAAAAAACAAAAACCCAAACTCCCTAATTTACTCAGATATGTATCTCTTCCTCATGCAGATATGTGACAGGATAGAACTCCTAGCCACCAACTCCAGGGATAGTTCTTATTGGTGTAAAAGTAATTTAATTTCACTTCTAGTTTCTATATTAGAAATATGCATGTTACCCAGTTGGGCTTCTTTAAAATCTTCCTTCAAGTCCACAGAAAAGATTTTCCCTTTTCCTGTCTTCAACATTATCATGTTTTCATATGATGTCTAAGAAATGCTAATATTCTAAGGATAAATTGAAGGACAATAATAGATGGTAAAACATAAAAAAGACCTGAATTTAATAGTGGTGGTAATGAAACAACCAACCTTGTATGTTGCTTCACTTTTGACTTCTTATATAGTTAATCAGTTTTGTTACTCTTTAAGCCATGTTGGATTCACATTCCTATTACTTGTAGTCTAAATATCTAACTAATGTCTAAAAATACCTTGTACTATGGCCCTACTCACCAATTACTAGATGTACTATTTTATTTGCAAAAACATTAACATTTTCTATGACTTACTTTGCACAAAGAATTGTTTTGACAACTAACTGGTGTAATATAATATATACTAGAGGCCCAGTGCTTGAAATTTGTGCACGGGGATCGGGGGCATCCCTCAGCCTGCAACCTCTCACAATCCAGGACCTCAGGGGATGTCCGACTCACTGCATGATTGGGCCTGAACCAGCAGTCGGACATCCTTCTCACAATCCAGGACCACTGGCTCCTAACTGCTCGCCTGCCTGCCTGCCTGATCTCCCCAAACCACTTGCCTGCCAGTCTGATCACCCCTAACCACTCACCTGACTGCCTGATTGCCTTTAACTGCTCGCCTACCTGGTCACCCCTGATCACCTCAGCCTTGGCCCCTGTTGCCACGGCTTCATCCAGAAGGTCGTTTGAAAGGATGTCGGGAATGACATCTTTGGTTGTCTGGTCTAATTAGCATATTATGCTTTTATTATTATAGATGAGTGTATTTTGATATTACAAAGTTGCAAAGGACTATCATCACCAGTAATGACGATAAACTCAATGAGTAACATGAATCACTATATTTGTTTTTAGAGTCAGTTGTATTTCTCAATAATCTGCCTCTATCAAGAATACCTAATTTTATAATTTCTTATTAATTGAAAAAAACCCTAATGCACAAATCTGGTCTAGCCATCGCCTGTAAAATAAACCATTACTAAAATTGAATTAGAAGAATCCCAAATCACACTTCATGTATGTAAGTCACAACTGACTAAATTAATTATAACACTATGAAGACACCCTACTATGATCCACTCTGAGTCCTCTTTCAACATAACCAGTCTTATGAATTACTCATTAGTTTTTAAACATTTGTTTTCCTATAACTTTGTATCTATGTTGTTAAATTATCACATTCAATATCTTTCTCAAGGAATTTTAATAAATTGCCATCTGTTAATCTGTTGATTTTTATTTTAATGGCAAAACTTAAAAATACTTATTAGTGTTATTTGACTATTTACATTACATACGCACTTTATATTCAAGTCCACTTATTTGAATCTTAATTATTTTGGGAAACTTCTCAATTTTTTTTACCTTTAAAATGTCTATCAAAACCCTAAACTTTTCTACATCTCTAATTGACCATACAACCATTTTTCTCTATTTTTTTACTTAGTCTCTACTAAAAATTTTCCTTCTGTATTTATTATACAAGCTAAGAAACATTTTCCCTTTAGTTTTGTTTTTTCATAGAAATGCCTTCTAGGTTATATGATTCTTAGCAGTTGACCTTTATAATCTGAATACTCCCAAGGTTTCAGATGCAGAGTAACTTGTAAGGCTTATGCAACTTGGTGAAGAAGGTGTTTCTCAGATGTTCTCACAGAAATATGGGCATTTAAATATTTTATGTTGGAGCATAAGAGGGCACCCCTTTTATTGATGTCCTGTCTGCCTTTATCCTTCTCTCAGATGTGAGTGTACTGCTCACCTAAGTTTCAGGATTACTTTATTTCAGCTTTACTGTTGCTGAAAGAATGAAAATCTACTTTTACTCCAGTGTGTGTGTGTGTGTGTGTGTGTGTGTGTGTGTGTGTGTGTGTGTTTCCATTTCTCCACTACCCACTAAAGGAGTAATGTGTAATGTGTTTTAACAGTTAGTGAAAAATGTACGTACATAAAGACATGCCTGCTATACACAAATAAGAGGAGTTAGGAAGAGTAAGACTATGTATGTGGCAAATAATGCTAATTAAAAAAATGTAGATAAAATAAAATAATATAGTCTCAAATAGATACTCAGTTAAATTTATGTATTTATTATTTTACATGAAATACATTTTTTTTACTTATTGGGGCAACATTGGTTAATAAATTGATATAGGTTTAAGGTATACAATTCTATAATACATCATCTGTATATTGTATTGTGTGTTCACTACCCAAAGTCAAGTCTCCTTCCATCACCATTTATCCCTACTTTATCCTCTTCTACTCCCCACCCTCTCTTTTCCCTCTGATAATCACCATACTTTTGTCTGTGTCAATGTGGTCTTGTATTTTCCTTTCTTTTTCCTTCTTTCCTTTCCTTTCCTTTCCTTTCCTTTCCTTTCCTTTCCTTTCCTTTCCTTTCCTTTCCTTTCCTTTCCTTTCCTTTCCTTTCCTTTCCTTTCCTTTCCTTTCCTTTCCTTTCCTTTCCTTTCCTTTCCTCTCCTCTCCTCTCCTCTCCTCTCCTCTCCTCTCCTCTCCTTTTCTTTTCTTTTCTTTTCTTTTCTTTCCTTAATCCTTTTACCTTTTTAACCCATCCTCCAAAACCTCTCCTCTCTAACAGCTACCAATCTGTTCTCTGTATCTATGAATCAGTTAATACTTTGTTTGTTAGTTTATTTTGTTCATTAGATTACACATATAAGTGAGATCTTATTGTATTTGTATTTCTCTGACTGGCTTATTTCACTTAGCATAATACTCTCCATGTACATCCATGTTGTTGCAAAGGTAAGATATCTTTTAATGGCCAAGTAGTATTCCATTATGTAAATGTACCACAGCTTTTCTCAAAATTAGTTTTTATTGATTTTAGAGAAAGGAAAAGAAAGAGAGAGAGAAACATTGATGGGTTACCTCCTGCAAGCCCCCTGCTGAAGATAGAGTCCACCACGTGGGCATGTGCCCTGACTGGGAATCAAATGTTGACCACTCAGTGCATGGGACTATACTCAGTTAACTGAGCCACACTGGCTAGGACTACCACAGCTCTTTTATCCACTCATCTATTGAGAGACACCTGGGCTGATTCCAAATTTTGGCAATTGTAAATAATCCTGCAATGAACATAAGGATGCATATATTCTTTTGAATCAGTGTTTCAGGCTTCTTCAGATATATTCTCAGAGGGGAAATACCTGGGTCATAAGGAAGTTCCATTTTCAATTATTTAAGGAAACTTGATACTCCTTTCCACAGTGTCTGTACCAATCTTCATTCCCACCAAGTGTGCACAAGAGTTCCCTTTTCTATACATTCGTGTCAACATTTGTTTTTTGTTGATTTATTGATGATATTTTGCTGTTGTATGATGACCTCATTGTGTTTTTGTAAAACTTTATTTTTATTTTTTTCACTATTAAAGATGTCCTTATTTTTGCCCCCTCACTCTCTTCTCTCATTGTGGTTTTATAATTTGCATTTCTGTGATGATTAGTGATGTTGAGAATTTTTTAATATATCTATTGGCTCTCTGTATGTCCTCTATAGAGAAATGTATGTTTAAGTCCTTTGTCCATTATTAAATTGGATTTTTTTGGTGTTGAGTTGTATAAATTCTTTATAAATTTTGAATATTAACCCTGTATCAGATGTGTCATTGGCAAATATGTTCTCCCATTTAGTGGGTTGTCTTTCCATCATATTTATGGTTTCTATTGCTCTGCAAAAACTTTTTAGTTTGATGTAGTCCCATTTTCTTTCTATCTTCCTTCCTTTCTTTTTTTCTTCTTTTTCTTTTTCTTTTTTTTTCTTGCTCCAGGAAATATAACAGAAAAAATATTGTTACGAGAAATGTCTGAGATATTACTGTCTGTGTGCTCTTCTAAGATTTTTATGGCTTCAAGTATTGCATTTAAGCCATTAGTCTATTTTAAGTTTATTCTTGTGCGTAATGTAAGATGATCTAGTTTCATTTTTTGCATGTATGTGTTTTTTTCAATACCATTTATTGACTAGACACTCTTTACCTCATTGTATGTTCTTGCCTCCTTTGTCAAATACTAATTGACTATAAAAGTGTGGGTTTATTTATGGTTCTCTATTTTGTCCCACTAATATCTGTTTTTATGCCAGTACTATGCTGAATTTATTAGTATGACCTTCTAGTATAGTTTCATATCAGGTTGCATAATTTTTCCAATTTTTTTCTTCTTCCTCAAGATTTCTTTGGCTATTGCAGTTCTTTTTTGTTCCATATAAATATTTAGATTATTTGTTCTAGCTCTGTGAAACATGCCTTTGGCATCTTGATAGGAATTGCATTGAATCTAGATTGCTCTGGATAGTATGGATATTTTAATGATATTAATTCTTCCTATCAATGAACATGTTATTTGCTTCCACTATTTCTATTTTATTTAATTTCTTTTTAGTGCCTTATAATTTTTCAAGCACTGACATTTTATATCACTGGTTGAATTTAATTCTAGGTATTTTATTTTTTATGCAATTGTAAATGAGATTGCTTTCTTAGTTTACCTTACTTATTGTTGTTTGTTGATGTATGAAAAAACAATTGATTTATGGGTATTTATTTTGTATCCTGCTACTTTATCAGTTCATTTATCTGTTCTGGTAATTTTTTGGTGGAATCTTTAGATTTCTCTATATACAGAATTATGTCATCTGCATATAGTGACAGTTTTAGCTTTTCCTTTTCAATTTGGATGTCTTTGTTTCTTCTTTTTGACTGATTGCTGTAGCTAGGACTTCCAGTACCATGTTGATGAAAGCAGACATCCCTGCCTTTTTCCCAATCTTAAGGGAAACACTTGTAGTTGTTGACTATTGAGTATGATGTTGACTGTGGTTTTATCATATATGGCCTTTAATATGTTAAGGTATGTTTCTTCTATTCCCAGTTTGCTGATAGTTTTTATCATAAATAGTGCTGAATTTTAACAAATGTTTTTTTTTCTACATCTATGGATATGTTCATGTGATTTTTATCCTTCATTTTGTTTATATGGTATATCACACTTATTGATTTGCACATACTTTTACCAACCTTGCATCCTTGGAATAAATCTCACTTGATAATGGTGTATGATCTTTTTAATTTATTGTTGGATCTGGTTTGTTAATGTTTTGTTGAGGATTTTAGCATTTTTTTCATCAGGGATATTGGCCTATAATTTTCTTTCTTTGAGTGTCTTTATATAGTTTCTGAATTATGATAATGCTGACCTCATAAAATGAGCTTGGGACTCTTACCTCCTATTGAATTTTTTTTTAATAGTCTTAGAAAGATAGTTGTTCTTTTTTTTGTTTTTTGTTTTTTAAATATATTTTATTGATTTTATTACAGAGAGGAAGGGAGAGGGATAGAGAGTTAGAAACATCAATGAGAGAGAAACATCGATCAGCTGCCTCCTGCACACCCCCCACTGGGGATGTGCCTGCAACCAAGGTACATGCCCTTGACCGGAATCGAACCCGGGACCCCTCAGTCTGCAGGCCGACGCTCTATCCACTGAGCCAAACCTGTCAGGCAGTAGTTGTTTGTTTTTTGAATGTTTGGTAAAATTCCCCTGTGAAACCATTTGTCCTAGACTTTTGTTTATAGGGAGTTTTTAATTACTGCTTCAATTTCATTAATTGTAATCAGTTAATTCAGAGTTTCTGAAACTTCCTGATTCAGCTTTGGAAGATTGTATGCTTCTATGAATTTATCTATTTCTTTAAGATTGTCCAACTTGTTGCCATATAGTTGTTTGTAATATTTTCTTACAACATTTTTGTTGTCAGTTGTCACTCCTTTCATTTCCAATATTATTTTCTTAGGTCTTGTCTCTTTTTTCTTGATGAGTCTGTTTGTCATCTTATTTATGTTTTTAAAGAACTAGTTCTTGGTTTCATTGGTCTTTCGTATTGTTTGTTAGACCCTATTTTGTTTATTTCCACTCTGATCATTATTTTCTTCCTTCTACTACTTTGGACTTTGTTGTTCTTTATCAAGTCCCTTTAAGTATAAAGTTAGAAGGTTTATTTGAGATTTTTTCTTGTTTCTTGAAGTAGGCCTGTAATGCTTTGAATTTCACTCTTAGGACTGCTTTTTCTATGTCCCATAGGTCATGGGTTGTTGTATTCTCATTTTCATTTGTTTCACAGTGTCTTCTTATTTCTCATTGTTAACCCATTGTTTAGTAACATATTATTTAGCTTCCAGGTTTTTGTGTGTTTTCAATTTTCCTTTTGTGATTGACTTCTAGTTTCAGACCATTATGGTCGGAGAGTATTTTTTATATGATTTTAACCTCTCTAAATTTATTGAGACTTGTTTTGTGTTCTAACATGTGATCTACCCTAGAAAATATTTCATGTGCACTTGAAAATAATGTATATCCTGCTACTGTGGGGTGAAATGCTCTGAAGAGATCAATTAAATCTTATTTAATGTGTCATTTAAGACCACTCTTATTGTTGATTTTTTGTCTGGGATATCTAATCATTGATTTTAAAGGGTGTTAAAATCCCTACTATGATGGTTTACTGATAATCTCTGTTTGTTTTTATCAAGATTTTCTTTATATACTTAGATGCTCCTATGTTACATGTATGATATTTACAAGGATTATATCCTGTTGTTGGATTTATCCCTTTATCATTATACAGTATCTTTCTTTGTCTTTTATTATAGCCTTTGTTTTAAAGTCTGTTTTTCAGATATAAGTATTGCTACCTCAGCTGTTTTTGGTTTATTTGTTTTTTCATGAAATATTATTCTCTTTTTCTTTATCTTTAATCTCTGTATACCTTTCCTTCTGAAGTGGGTCTCTTGTAGACAGCATATATATGGGTCTTGTTTTCTTATACATTCAGCTAACCTATACCTTTTGATTGAAGCATTTAAGAAATTGATATTTAAAGTGATTATTTATAGGTATGTATTCATTGCTATTTTATTCTTTTAACTAGGTTCCTCTTTCTTTCTTCTTTTTTCTCCTTCTTCTTTAATAAGACCCTTTAACATTTACTGTAATACTTTTTTGCTGGTAATTAACTCCTTAAGGATTTTCTTGTCTAGGAAGTTCTTTATTTCTCTTTTAACCCTATATAATAAAACCCTAATATGCAAATTGACCAAATGGTGGAATGACCGGTTGCTATGACATGCACTGACCATCAGGGGGCAGACACTCAATGCAGGAGCTGCCCCCTGGTGGTCAGGTGCCCCCACAGGGGGAGCACTGCTCAGCCAGAAGCCAGGATCACAGCTGTCAGGCACTGTGGTGGTAGCAGGAGTCTCTCCCGCCGCCATGGCAGCGCTAAGGACCCCTTGAGGGATGTCTGCCAAAGGGTCCTGGACTGCAAGAGGGCGCAGGCTGGGCTGAGGGACCCCCCACCCTAGTGCACGAATGTTGTGCACCAGACCTCTAGTTTTAAATGATAGCCTTGTTGGGTAAAGTGGTCTCAGTTATAGGCTTTGCTTACCATCACTTTGAGTATTTTATGGCAATCCCCTCTGGCCTGAAATGTTTCTGTTGAGACATTAACTCACAGTCATAGGAGAGTACCTATGGAGATAAGTAACTGTCTTTCTCTTGCTGCTTTTTTGATTTGTTCTTTGTCTTTTACCTATAATGTGTCCTGGTGTGGGCCTCTTTGGGTTAATTTTGTTTGGAGCTATCTGTACTTTCTAGACTTGAATGCCTTTTTCCTTCACCAGGTTCAGAAAATTTTCAACCATATTTCTTCACATAAGTTTTTTTATCCCTTGCTCTTTCTCTTCCCCTTCTGATACCCCTATGATGTAGATGTTGTTATGATCCATGTTGTCCCAAAGGTCCCTTAAACTATATAGAAATAACATTTTCTAGCTCAAAACTAGTTAATTACTGATAACTATCAAAATTAAGGCAAGGTTAATATTTTAATAGAAATAAATATAATGATTATATTTATGTTATCACTGTTAATTGTATTGTTTGTTTTAAATAGACAAAAGTATATCACTAATAACAACAAAGAGCAAACTATTAATAGATAACTGGAGGAATGTGCCAAATGCCTGTTGAATCAGACAAAACTTCCTTGAGTGAAATTATTTGAGCTGAGACTTAAAGGACAAATAGGAGACAATTGGAAAGGAAGACATTTCATGTTTATGAAAGTACATGACATTCAGAAAATTATGAGCAAACCAGTGTGACTGGAGTATAAACTTCTTAGGAGAGACAGGCTGGAATTAAATTATAAAGGAATCCTGAATTCCATACTAAATTCAGAGCGCCCAATTTTGCTGATTTCTGTTTTATTTTATTTTATTTTAAAATAAACATAAACTGCTAATTTATGAGGATTTATGTTTCAGAGCACTAACTTTGGCAGCTTTAAGAAGCATAAAAAAAGGAAGTTGAAGTGTTCTTTGTTATAGGGATAAGTCAAATACTCCATGAATGCTCAAGGAAAAATAGAAGTACACTAAAAAACAGTTTAAAAAAAGTTAATATGACTTAGAGTATAAAAAAATATTCATACACCCACATATTTATTACTAAGAAAAAGGTCTAATGAAAAATTCTTAATCTTAGTGTATTTTAATGATCTGATATTTTTGTATTTCTCCTTCTATTTTTATTTTTAATATATAATGCAATTATGACCCAAAGAATAGACCGCACAGCCAACTGATAACTGATATTCACATTTTGTTTAAATATTGGCAAAATGATTTGAGTTCAGAATTTAAATATGGTGGTAGGAAGGAAAAATTTCTAAGTAATTAATATTCATTCAGTACTCAGTTAAATTTGAAATCCTCCTAAATAAAGTAGTTAAGAATAGAGATAAGTATTTTTTTAGAATTTCAAATATAATACTTATTTAATAAAACCATGCATAAGACACTCACACACACATATACATTTTTAAAAAGCATAAACATATTGAAAAGGTGAAGGGATGAAATATCTAAGCAAATAAATTTAAGATCAGTAGTGTCTGGTAAGCTATTCTCAAAGATTTTAAAATTAATTCATCATAAATTATTTAACCCTCAACAATCAATTCTAAGAGGAAATAAAAATTGCTAATACTTAAAAAGTTATATGTCATTA